CTGCTCCCTCTCCTTACACTGGTCCTACTGGAGGTCTTGCTGAGCGTCGTGAGCCTGCGTCTCGTCCCGCGTCGCTTGTTCGTACTGCTCGCGCTAGTGGTCCCAGTTCGCGTCAGCGTCCTCCTCCTGTCCCTGGCACGCACCGGATGTCTTTGCGTCCGTCCACTGCTCCCCTACGTGCCCCTTTGCCTTCTCCTCCTGAGTCCTCTCTTCCTGCGCTTGCCGACCCTAAGTCGGACTCTCTTCGTGCTGCCAGTCCTACTGTCACGCGTCTGCTTGCTACTGTCGTCACTGACCCCTCTTTTGAGTCCACTGCTGCGTCTGCTCTAGTCGCTGAGCTGGTCGACTTTGCTGCTCGCTGTCGTCTCGACTACGCTGCTAGTCTGGTTGCTGAGTCTGCGTCTCTCTGTCCTCCGTCCGTCGGGGGTGAGTGTGCTCTTGGCACGGACGTCCTAGAGGACAGGCAGGAGGAGTTACAGTGTCTAGCGGCTGCTTCACCTCATCTCGCGTCCGTACTGCTTGCCCCTGAGGGAGACCCGGATGCACTAGACATCCCGACTCCGCGTTCTTACGCGGAGGCCGTAGAGGGTCCCTACTCCTCTCAGTGGCAGGCAGCTATGGATGCAGAGATGGCTTCCTGGAAGTCCACAACCACCTACGTTGACGCGGTTCCCCCTCCTGGGGCGAACATCGTCAGTGGCATGTGGATCTTCAGGGTGAAGCGGCCGCCGGGCTCTCCACCTGTCTTCAAGGCGCGGTACGTTGCTCGTGGCTTCAGTCAGCGGCAGGGAGTTGACTACTTTCAGACCTTCTCTCCCACCCCGAAGATGACCACTCTTCGGGTGCTGCTGCACATAGCCGCTCAGCGCGACTACGAGCTTCACTCTCTCGACTTCAGCACTGCGTTCCTGCAGGGTAGCCTACACGAGGAGATCTGGCTGCGCCGTCCGCCTGGCTTCACTGGGACTTTCCCTCCTGGCACCCAGTGGAGCCTCCGACGTCCAGTCTACGGTCTCCGTCAGGCACCGCGTGAGTGGCACGACACACTGAGGACTACTCTTGCGGCTCTTGGGTTTGCTCCTTCTACTGCTGACCCGTCGCTGTTTCTGCGCACCGACACTTCCCTGCCGCCGTTCTACATCCTCGTGTACGTCGACGACTTGGTCTTTGCCACAACGGACACTGCTGGACTCGCCTACGTGAAGTCCGAGCTACTGAAGAGACACACGTGCACAGACCTGGGTGAACTGCGCAGCTACCTTGGCTTGCAGATCACTCGGGACAGAGCACGCCGCACCATCACCTTGGCTCAGTCACACATGGTGCAGCAGGTCCTTCAGCGCTTCGGCTTCACGTACTCCTCGCCTCAGGCCACTCCTCTACCTACTCGCCACTCACTCTCAGCTCTGCCTTCGGATGAGTCCGTAGAGTCGAGTGGTCCGTATGCAGAGCTTGTTGGCTGCCTCATGTACCTGATGACCTGCACACGACCTGACCTTGCATACCCTCTGAGCATTCTTGCACGCTATGTTGCTCCTGGGAGACACCGACCAGAGCACATGGCTGCAGCGAAGAGGGTATTGCGCTACTTGTGCAGTACGTCGGGCATGGGGCTAGTGCTTGGAGGGCGGAGTCCAGTGGTCCTTACCGGCCACGCGGACGCTTCTTGGGCTGACGACCAGGCTACGCAGCGGTCGTCACAGGGTTACACCTTCAGCCTTGGTTCCGGCTCTGTCTCGTGGCGGTCTACTCGCTCGTCTTCGGTTCTCGGCTCCAGTTGTGAGGCTGAGATCTACGCCGGGGCCATGGCTGCACAGGAGCTTCGCTGGCTCACCTACCTGCTGACTGACCTTGGAGAGCCGCCTCGTTCTCCTCCAGTGCTGTACGTAGACAACAAGGCCATGCTGGCCTTGTGTCGAGAGCAGCGCTTGGAGCACAGAACGAAGCACATTGCTCTCCGCTACTTCCTTGCTCGTGAGCTGCAGCAGCGTGGTCAGTTGCGACTTGCGTACGTGGCCTCTGAGGCCAACACTGCTGATGTGTTCACCAAGGCACTCGCGCCTTGTGACCATCAGCGCTTTTGCACCCAGCTGGGTCTTGTGCCTGTCTTGCCTCACTTGCTCTCCTCTTGACTTTACTTGTACTGTGACATATATATATACCTGCTCTTGCTTGTCTAGTTTTATATATATGTCTGTACTCTTGCATGTGAACTGGCCTCTGGCCCTGCTCTTGTGCTCGGACTGTGTGGTGACTTTGTGATCCACCCTGAGCTTGCTTTGCTTTGCTTGGCTGGTCTTGTGACCCCTTGTTCTCCCCCACTTTGCCTATGGGGGTGTGTCAAACATTATATATGTTATGCTTGTGTAGGCTATAGTGGGTTAGCCTATAGGGGGTACACAATTCTAGGGTTCACTACTTGTACTCATTTTCACTGCTAGTTGACCCATTCCTGTTCTCTTATCTCTCACATTTCTTTTTTACACTGATGGTTCAGTTTACTTATAACTTTTACAGTGGCAAAATCAGTATAAAGAAAACCATGAACGCTGATTTGGACACATGGGAGACCGGGGCACGCTAATCCATTAGCATACCCTCAAAACAATCTGAGGGCCTGGTTGTGGGACTAGTAACTAGAAGGCAAAGAAAGTAGAGTGCCACGTGGCACTAGGAAATCTAGGAAGATAAGGATAAGGGTGAGTTGGAAAGCACTTTTCAAAGTGAACAGTAAATCCCCCCTTAACATGTTTTGCCAATTATAGTGTTGACATAAATGGTAGTAGATACAACGGAATAGGAAGAACCCTATTATTGTACTACAACGCGCAAATTGCCAGAGTTCCCGTGCTTACCGTATCTCGAGAACCCCCATTCCGTCGCTCTATGCCCTTCGCTGGGATTTTGTCAACTCGTTCACAAGCCGTGCAAGCACCCATCCTACAGAGGTTGAACACGGTATGACGGTTCTTAAAATGATAACAGTACGGTAACCGTAACAATAATAACAACTCCGTTTTCCAACACCCCATCTGGATTCCAGTCCACACTATTCCAACATTTTCTGCTCTCCCGCCAAAACAGTTCTTGCGCTGCTGCCAGGTTACAACCAGAATCGACATGGCACTGCGAGGCCAGTACGGACTGTCCGTCGATTAGCCTGTCTGTTTCGGTCGCGATATGAACTTTGAAGATGGTCCTAGCCCCTGTCCTTCACTGAATAATGCCGGAATATTTCGAGGTGACTTTTGAGTCAACTCCATGGTCGACTTTTGAGTCGGCTCAGTGGTCGTAACCCGTGTCTTTGATTGATTCATGCCGGCATTCCATCATTCCGTGTCTCTTACTGTTCCATCCAACGCGAGAATAACTCGGGCTTCACATTGACCATCCTTAGTTTACGCCGCCATTTGCGGCCGAATTCCGCTTAATCTCGCGGGCGAGACGCCGCAATGGCCGGCCGTCGCCGCGCGTCGTTTCCGGCGATGTCGCTGGTCAAGTACTTGCTACCCGCATACTACCTCCGTCGGCCGAAGCGCCTCTTCGTCCTCTCGTTTCTCCTCATCGCCGGGATGTTTCTCCTCCTGCGCCGACAGCACAAAGCGCGCCAAGTGAAGGTGCAGTCGAAACGGTTCGGACGGCAGTTAGGCTCGGTTACAAAGTAAAGTTTGCGTGGCTTAACTGAAGTGCGGCATTGCGTTACACTTAGCTTTTGAATGAAGCCAGGCTCGGCCGAACCTACTTTCTGGGTTGGAGCCAGGTTTGGCCTGGCCAGACCCATCTTGTCGATCGTCATAGTCGATGCGATCAAATTGTATTCCTGACAATCGCGAATCGCAATCCTTATCCGCTCAATCCCTGACCCCGAACCGAATGGCTCTGTTTCTCTCTCCTCCACGCTTCTCCCGTTTCCTTCCTTCCTCCCCAAAAGAAACAATCCCGAACAACTTCCATACAACCCCCCAAAGTCCTTTATTCAACCCCCCAAGCTCCCTTGAACACCCTTCCAAACACCCCACTCACTGATGGCAGGCACTCACAGCGAGGGTGCAGGCGTTGCACAGCCAGAAACAAAGCATGGTGGCCGAGGTGAGCCTCGCTATAGAGTGAGACTCTCTGTAAGGTGAGACTCGCTATAAGGTGACACTCGCTATAAGGTGAGACTTCCTAAATGGTGAGACTCGCTATAAGGTGAGACTTGCTATAATGTGAGACTCGCTATAAGGTGAGACTTGCTACATGGTGACACTCGTTACAAGGGTACGTAAACCCGCTATAAGGTGAGACTGTTGAAGGTGGGACTCAGTAAAAGACACCCCAGGTTGTCCTTTGCTATAAGGGCACCGGGAGCAGCTAGTTTATCCAACTTTGATAGTGCAATAACCCTACTCGTTTTTAGTGTTCCATGACCAGTCTCCAGTCCTTTTGTTGGATCATTCCCATAATTCATGCCCGTTATTGCTTGAAACCTCTACAGTGCCTGGAAATGTGAAAAGGACACACGTGCAACCACATGGCGAGCCAACCTCTTGCCCCCTCCTCAAATCTTTCCCCTATGGCAGCTGGAAAAGACGCGTAGGGGAGACAATGGAGCGTCCAAGGAGGGAGGGGAGGCAGGGGAGGAGGAGCAGTCGTTTCGAGTCGTACCTGTTAACCTTAGAGGGCGAGGGCGCGCGGGAGTGGGGGAACGAGTGAGAGGTGGAGGGAGAAGAGGAGCGAGAGGAGGGAGAGGCGGAGAGATGGAAGGGCGGGGAGGAGAGGGGAGGAGGAGACGGAGGGGACGATCTAGAAGGAAGAGAAGGAGGAGGAGGAGAGGGGGCGCTGGGGGAGGTAGATTGAGAGGAGCGGGGATGGGTGGGGACGGGGCTGGGGCTGGTGATGTGCCTGGGGAAGGGCTGGGTGGGGATGGACAGGATGGGGGGGGAAGGGGGAGGGTGATGAGAGAGGGGGAGGAGGGGGAAGAGGGGGTGGAGGAGAAAAGAGAGGCGATTCGAGAGGCGATGGCGCATGCTTGGAAGGGGTACAGGCAGTATGCATGGGGCATGGATGAACTTCAGGTGCGAGCAGGTCTGCAGTGGTTGAGATGGGTGATGATGGTGCATGCACATGCATGGTAGTGGAAGGGGTACAGGCAGTATGCATGGGGCATGGATGAACTTCAGGTGCAAGCAGGTTTTGGGTCAAAGTCATGGGGTAGAGAATGACGCTGCATGGATAGGAAGGGGTAATGTCATGGGTCAAAGTCACTATGCATGGGGTCTGGGCGAACTGCAGTTGCACACAGGGTGGCATGATGGCATGGTGAGGTGATGGTGTTGTGCCATGATGGTGTGGTGGCATCATGGTGTGGTGGCATGGCTGCGTGGTGGCATGTGGCATAATGGCATTATGGGAGCATCCCTCCATCCCCCCCTGCCACCTGTCCTATCCTATCCTCCCTGCATACCTACATTCCTCCCTGTACCACCTGTCCTGTTTTCCGTGCATCCCCCTGCTCCCACCACCAGCCGCGCACCAAGACCGGGGCGAACCACTTTGGGGGGCTGGGGTTGACCATCGTTGACTCGCTTGACTCGCTCTACCTCATGGGGCTCACCAAGGAGTTCAATGAGGCCAAGAGGTAAGCAGTGTGGTGCGGTGTGGTGTGGTGTGGCGTGGGAGTATGGAGTAGCGAGTTTACCATCGGCCTATGAAGGAGTTCAATGAGGCCAAGAGGAAACGGGTCCGGTGTAGTGTGGTAGGGTGTGGCTTGGCACGGTGTGGCATGGTGTGGCTTGGCACGGTGTGGCATGGTGTGGCTTGTGCTACGTTCATGATCCAGTGCCATGACATTGTATGCCATGCCATGGCATGGTGTGACACAGCAAGGCTTCACATGGCATGGTAAGGCATGGGCATAGTATGGCAAGGTACGGTATGATATGGCATGGTATAGCATCCCAGTGCGTGCACCCTGTAGGGTGTTTTTGAGAATTCTCAAAAACACCCTACGGTATGATATGGCATGGTATGGCATCCCAGTGCGTGCACCCTCTCACCACTCTCAATGCTTCTCCACCCCCCCCTGTCCCGCTTCCCCTGTCTACTCCTTTTCTCTCAATTCCTTGACTTGCCATCATCACCCTCCCACTCCCTGCCTCTCTCCCCAACCCCCACCCTTCCATCGCTCTTCAATCCTCTCTCCCCCTCGCTCTATCAGCTGGGTGCACCCCCCCTCCAAATCCGCTCCTATTCCACTCCTGTTCTTGTCCTTCCTCCCTCTCCCCCCCCTCTCTGCCAGCTGGGTGCACGAGAAGCTCTTCTTCGAGCATGACTATGACGCCAACGTCTTCGAAACCACCATTCGGTATGCACCACACCGCACCGCACCACACCGCACCGCACGCGACGTCACCGTCAGTTGTAGCATTTTTCGGTTCACAAAGCTCCTCTGTCCACGGATCACGTGATCAGGTTCTACATGTTTTTTTCCGGAATAAGTTGTTCTCATATGACCACATAATCGTATTTTTTGAGCTGGTAACATTCCATTGGTGAACGATCATGTCTTTCCCGTACTTCCTCTCCGCCACCCTTCCCCCTTCCCCCCTCTCCAGCATACTACGCGGGCGGGCTACTGAGTGCGTACGACCTGTCAGGCGACCCAATGCTGCTGGCCAAAGCATGCTCCAAAGCCCAAAGACACTCCTCCACATGCCCAACCCACCATCCCCCCTCCACCGCTCTCTCCCTCTCCAGCATTCTGGGCGGGCTTCTGAGTGCGTATGACCTCTCCGGCGACCCAATGCTGCTGGCCAAAGCAAAGGAGCTCGCAGACAAGCTGCTGCCAGCCTTCACCACGCCCACAGGCATCCCACTCGCCTTTGTCAACCTCGCCAGTGGCACTTCTCGCTCGCACGGGTGGACTGGGGTGAGTTGATGATGGCTCTAGGGGCACACACACACACACGCATAGGGGGCTGGAGCCTAGAGAAGGGAGGCGGACTCCACCCCCACAGGCATCCCACTCGCCTTTGTCAACCTCGCCAGTGGCACCGCACGCTCGCTCTATAGGGGCTTACAGTAGGGGAGGGAACTCTCCGCGCTCTTGAGATTTTAGGGCACGACATGATATTGTAGGGCACGACATGAGATTGTAGGGCACGACATGAGATTTTAGGGCACGACACGAGCATCCCTATGCTGGAGCCTAGAGCATAGGGATGGGCATTCCGCCCCCAGGCAAGCTGCAGCCCGCCTACTCCATGCGCATGTGCATTCCGCCCCCACAAATGATCATCCCTGCTAGCAGCACCGCGCATTCACCCGGATGGAGTGGGGTGAGTCTTGTGTGATACTCCCTGGGCATGAGCAGAGCAGTGGGCGGAAGGCTTGAGTTGTGCTGCTCGCTAGTGGCATGGGGCACCGCAACGCTGACCGACATAGGCTTTAACTTCTCAAAAGTGGGGCACCGCAACGCTGACACACATAGGCTTTAACTTCTAAAAAGTGGGGCACCACAGTGGCTTCTGAGGCGCCTCAGAAATGGGGCACCGCAGGCAGCGCCGCTGACGGACATAGGCTTTAACTTCTCATGTTCGACCAGAGAGCTTGACGATCAGTCCACGCCTCTCCTATGCACTTGCCAACGTGCCTTCCCTCCCATGCCCCCAGCGCTCCGCAATGCGGGCAGATCGAAATGAATGCTGGCACCCTCTCCACGCACCCCCCCCTCTCCCCGTTTGTGCCCACTCGCATTCAATTGTGGCCCTGTGTCTGTTCTCCCGCATCCCATCCCTGTCCATGCGCCCACTCCATGCCAGCGCTCATCACTGCTGGCAGATCTGGGCTCCGCGCCGCTCGAGATGACGGCACTCTCTCAACAATCTCACCACCTTGTGTGTTCCTTTCATCGCATCCCTGTCCATGCGCCCATTCCATTGCCCCAGCGCTCCGCACTACTGGCAGACCTGGGCTCAACACAGCTAGAGATGGTGGCACTCTCCCAGCGCACCGGCGATCCCAAATACGCCAACGCTGTACGCACCTTCCCTCCCCTCCCCTCCCCTCCTTCCAAGCACCTTCCCTACCCTGCCCTCCCCTCCTCTCCCCTTCCCTCCTTACACGCACCTCCCCTTCCCTCCTTACACGCACCTCCCCTTCCCCCCTTACACGCACCTCCCCTTCCCTCCTTACACGCACCTCCCCTTCCCTCCTTACACGCACCTCCCCTTCCCTCCTTACACGCACCTCCCCTTCCCTCCTTACACGCACCTCCCCTCCCCCCCTAGTGAGAAACCTCTCTCCCTTGCAGCAAGTGTCCCTTGCATGCTACTCGCTCCGTTTGTATTCCCCGGGGGTCCAAAGCGAGCAACGCCAAGCCAACCACTCCTGCTCTGCTCGAGGTTATCTGTAACAGACGATGGCTCCAACCAACCACTAGTGGACAGGACAGCAATGACTGCAGCCATCCACTCAGTGGCGTGAAAGCCCGACAGAGCATCCGAATAGGACTGAGGGGTGGGCGGGAATTAGCCTTGAGCACAAGGGCGGACACCTGTTCGGTTCGCCTCGAACATGTTCGTGGCGACTCGAACACTTGTATTTTTTTGGCGTAAAGTGTACGGGGCAAACATGTTCGTGTTCGGTTCGCCGCGGCTAGCCGAGCCGCGCCAAACACAAACACGTTAGTGTTCGAGGCGAACAACAATGTGCTCGCCAGAAAAGTCCCTCAATCCTTTGTTTGAGCTCATTCCTAAGCTCGACTTTTGCCATACCCCCCTCCGACAGCGTAGAATACAAGCTCCAGCAACTATTGTACCTAGACTCTAATGAAGTAGGCTGTATCAAAATCTAGTCTTTGGTGTTTCATTTCCTCCAGTTCCAATCGTCCTTCCACCCTGTGACGAGGTATAGCCACACACACCACCCTGGACGCCAAAATCCACCATGCCTCCAACCTGTGACTATGATGAAGGCTGCGTACAGGAAATGTCACAAACATGTTTTGAGTCGACCCAAAACAGGCGAACACAAACATGTTTGTGTTCGCCATGAACACGGTGCTGTTCGCCTGTGAAGGCGAGTCGCAAACACCCTCTTTGGTGGGGGGTGTTCGGCGAACGCGAACATGTTCGGTTCGCCGAACAGGGGTGTTCGTGCCCGGGCGAACACGAACATGTTAAGGTTCGCCCTTTGCTCCTACCTAGTGGGAATAGGAGCAGTGTCAACGGAGAGAAGAGTGGGGGAATTGCTGAAATCGACAATGGTGACATAGAGAAGAGGAGAAACAGGACAAACAGAAAAGAGCTCCTTGAGGATCGTTTCGAGAAGCTCTTTTCTCTCATTTCTCTCAAAACGATCCTCAAGAAGATCAAGGTCAACATGAGAGAAACACGCGGAAGGAGAGAGGCTAAATGAGCAGAGCGCTGAAAGCTTGACAGCGCGCGGGACATGGAACGAGTAACGCGCTGAGAAGGGGGGGGAGCGAAAAGAGGAGGAAGGTAAACAGGGGTTGACTTAGATGTCAACTTCTTGGCACAGTACCTTTGACTTTCTAAGTTGACTTTCGATTCGACTCAAAAGTCAGCTTCTTGGCACAGTACCTTTGACTTTCTAAACCTTATCTCCTCTCCTCTCTTCTCCTCTCCCCTTTGTTGGCCTGCCTGCCCAGTCGGAGCACGTCATCCGTCAGATCGCCAAGATCTTTCCATCCGACGGTTTGCTGCCAGTGCTCATCGGCACTGTCAGTGGCAAGCCCACCTCTCGCCACATCACGCTTGGATCCATGGGGGACATGTGAGATGCGGTGAAGTGCGGTGAGATGTGGTGAGGTGTGGTGGGATGAGGTGCAGTGTGACTGGGCATGGTGTTCAGGTAGCTCACTGCCACTGGCAAGCCCAACTCTCGCCGGATCACGTTTGTGACGGGGGGATAGGTGATGAGATGTGTGGCGAGGTGCAATGAAGTATGGTGAAGTACGGTATTATGTGGTGAGATGAGGTGCAGTGTTGCTGGGCATCAGGTTCACATATCCCACTTCCACCGTTAAGCTTACCTCTCACACGTTTGGTTCCATGGGGGATAGGTGGGGTGCGCAGATAGGTGGGGTGCGCAGATAGAATAGGTGGTGCAGTGAGCTCACATGGCAGTGGTGCTTGGCCCGCGTACATTCCCGCGCATTCCCATGCATTCCCCCTTTGTGTTCTCTGCCGTTTGTTAATGAGCAAACATATTAAGAGTGCAGGACCTAACACCACCGTCTCTACGGCAATCGAGCATGCCACTTTCAACGATACCATTCCTCGCTTGATGGAATTCCCTCCCTCTCTTTCTCTCTCCCGTCCCTGTGCACCACCAGTTTCTATGAGTATCTACTCAAAGTGTGGGTGCAAGGCGGTGGCACACCCTACGTTCAAAGATACAGGTGGGTGGGTGAGGGCTCTGAGGCGTCTTGGAAATCGTTTGACGTGTCTTTTGAACAAGTGAGTGAGGGGTTTGAGATGCCAGAATTGTTTGTCGTCATTTGGCATGTCTTGTGAAGGAGCGAGTGATGCACAGGTTCAGCATTAATGAAGGTCGATCGGGTTTTCTCCCGTGATAGACCGAAACATGTTTGACTTTTTCTTGTTCTAATCAAGAGACGAGTTCCGATCAAACCGAGGCACGTCAAACTTTGCTGCTCTTCCCCATGGGTGAGGACCCGTGGGACCTCACGTTCGTAACTCGTTTGACATCCTTCGACGTGTGTTTTGAATGAGATGCATGCACGAAGCGCCTCCGTCTCGAAAGCCGCCTACTCTTATTGTGGCGGGGCGGCTCATGGGTGTCCAGCTGGGGATAGCCGTAGAACTCTATGCAGAGCGATTTGAGACGTCTCAAAATGAATCTTCATACTTGTGGCGGGGCGGCTCAATGGTGTCTAGATGGGGATAGCCATAGAACTCTATCTAGAGCAGGGCTAAAGTTAGACTTTTCAAACTTTTTGGGCTCCCTTCAGAAAATGCCCTGAAAACGCAGGGCCAGCCAAAAAACCGCTCGGAAAATCAGGGCTGGCCTAAAATTTCCTCGTTGAAATAATTCGATAGTTCCGCGGCAATGGTGGAGACTTCTTTCTGACTAAATGTGATGTTGAAACTCTGTGTTGGTGCACTTGTGCTGCTTTCATGTGGACCTTTGCTCACAGAGAGCAGAAGTGTACAAATGCCTCTGAATTTGACTAAGGAATAGAGGGGCGCGAGGGAAGCATTCACAAGTCCAGGAAGCGGGGAGGGGGCGAGGTCGGGGGTGGTTAGAGCCTTAGAAAAAGTTCTGAGTCCTTCGAAGGAGTGTTCGGATTCATCAGAGTCAGTCCTGGAAGTGCTCGGATTCAGTCAGGGCTGGCATAAAAACTCTCCTGTAAAAATCCGAGTTGGGCTGAAAAATACCTTGGATTTTCAGTCAAGAACGAGCATTTACCCTGATAGCCTGAGCCCGATTTTGAGCAAAGTAAACTCGAAAAACAACTGCATCCAGCTGTTGCCACGTGATAGTAAGAGCGTTTCGGTGAAAGCTGTTCCGTCTCGAACCGCTCGCACTATCACGCATTGTACACCCAACTGTTTAGGTGAGTGGGGCTGAATGCCTTTTTTTTTTGTTAGAATTCTCTAGAAACCTTTTCAGCCTGAAATTCCCCGGCCTTGATTGTACGCCCAACTGTTTAGGCGAGCGCGATTCCGTTTGACGTGTCATTTCGGGTTGGGGTTTGTTGTGCCTCTGTAACGTGCTTTCACTTCGGCGACGTGCTATGTCTTCTAGCTGCGTGATCAATCTGATTCTAATGTGCGTCTTCTTTCCTTCCAGGGTTCATTTCACCACTCTCCTCTCCACCACTCCCAATCCCTTCGTACCACTCCCCACCCACAGAGACATGTGGGAGAAAGCCATGAGTGGCATGATGGCAGAGCTGATTCAGCATGCCCCGGCGTCCAACACCACCACCGCCACTACCACCACCGCTGCAACCAACACCAGCACCACTAGCAGCAGCAATGCTGACATTAGTGGCAGCGGTAGCGGCAGCACTGACAGCAGCAGCAGCGGTGGCAGAGTGGTGTATGTGGCAGAGATGCATGCGGGGAAGGTGGAGCACAAGATGGAGCATGTGACGTGCTTCGTGGCTGGCATGCTGGTGCTGGGCGCTCAAACAGTGGCGGAGGGGAGTGAACACACTGAAGCTTACATGAGGCTGGCTAAAGAGGTGAGAGGGGGAGGGAGTGGGGGAGAGAGGGAGCTCGAGAAAGGGAGGAAAAGAGTGAATGTTGCTTTGAATTTGACTCAAATCCCAAACTTTGGTTCGACTCAAAAACTTGTTCCCTGCCCCACTTGTTGAATGCAACACATGGTTTGCACGACAACCTACCGCCTATTTGTCGACGTTGAGTGAAAATGAGGTGTTTCGTCTGAAGGTAATTTGTTGTGTGCTAGTTGCGCTTTTTCGTGAGCTGCGTTTGTGTGTTTACGGTTCATGAACGATTCATGAGTTGTGGGTGTTTTCGTGAAAGGTTGTGTTCATGAGAGTTCGTTAATGTCTATGTGCAAATGCGAGACTTCGTGTGCGTTTGCATTGTTTCGTTAGTTGTCATGGGTGTGCGCTGATTTTATGTTCGTGAATTCTGTGTTCGTGAATTTCCGTGAACGTTGTTCCAATATTCATGAATGTTTGTGAGCATTCATGTTTGTTTCTATTTTTCGTTTTTTTTTTTTTTTTGTTCATGAAGTGACGTGAGGGGTCAATTTTGACCCTGGATATTTCTCGCGCTGATCAAGGTCAACCGCGCGTGGGGTCCTGGTCGTGCGTGTGGGCCCTTAGGCCCGCGCGTGTGCCCTCGCACTGTTACAAGCGTGGCAGGGCCCACGATCGCAACAGGACAGGGCGAATGATCGCCCTGCCCACGCGCAGGACAGCGCATGTTTGCACTGTACAGTGCGCACGATCGCTGACGCGATCCCACTGTACAGCACGACCGAAATATCAGTCGTGCTATGATTGCAGTCGGAGGGTGCTCAAGATTTCAGTTGAACAACCGAATCCCGCGTTGACTCGGCATTTTGCTAGAAATGTCGCGCATGTAAAGAGACAATTTCGATACAGGGAAAAACGGTGAAAAAACGTTAAGTAACTGTAAGGCTTCATGAAAAACCGTAATCCCACAAGAGCGTTTATGATTGCGCACGAGAAGTTGCGAACGTTCACGAGGGGAGTCAGCAGGGGAATTTGGCAGGAGTGCAGTTTGAAAACAGTTATTTCAACAAGGCAAATCAAGCCAAATTCAAGAGCAGTTCGACAACCGTTTTCCTTGGCCGCGTTCTGCAGGCGTATCAGCTCTGATGCGTCTGATGCTCGGCCTAATGCGCACATTGAAAATTTGAGGTTCGGAAAATGCGAAATGGAGATTGAGAAATTGAGGCTCGGACATTTGGAATTGGTGTTTGGAAAATTTGACGAAATTGGATTGAGGTCAGGAAATTGGACATTTAATTTCCTGACGAATTTCAGCATTTTGAATGTTTCAGGTTTCTTGGAAGTTGGGATGTCGCTGAATTTCGGAGGTGCCAAACTGATTGGCCAATGAGGTTGCAGCGATTTTTCGAATTTTCATCATGCGCACATGATGCGATTTTTCGAAGTTGCATGGTGCTTCGAATGCGCCCGATTGCTAGGAGAGGAAGCTTCTTGGAACGCGGTCACATGACAAATTTCGAGGGCCAAAAGGCCGTTCTGCTGGCATTCGGGCTTGGTTTGCCCCAGCAGCCATGCGCCTATCGCGAGCCTTGATAACCTGTCGGCAAGTTATCAAGGAAGGATCCTGGTACGCAGGGAAATTGTAGCAATGTACATTGATGCGGCCTGATGCGCCTGCAGAACCCTTGAAGTCTAGTTAAACAACTGCTTTGTGCTTTCCTACGTTTGTGTATTAAGCAAAATATTAATGTGTGCTTGTGCTTGATTGTGATCAACCCTTTGTGTATGAAAATTGCTCTATCAACGTATTGACGAAGAGTTAATTCTGCACACGAGCCATTTCTTCGTTCAACGGTTCGCAAGTGAGATTGGGAATGCTCTAGTGCACACCGCTACCTTTACACTTAGGAAACTCCCTCTACCAACACGGACCCTTGGTTAGGGGCTGGCTTTGTCAGGCACCCCAGGAACTTTGGAGATGACCCCGTGGGGATTACCTAGAGTGAATTAAAGGGTATGCATAGGGTTTCTTAGATCCCAATAGTAGTCAACACCACTCCCCCCTGCCTCCCCCCCCACCAGCTGGGGCACAGATGCCAGCAATTCTGTAGCACATCACCCACGGGCCTCAGTGGGGCGGACAAACACTCCCCTCCACTCTCCCCTCACATCCCTCCCCAATTCTTCCCAACCCCACCCAACTCCCACTTCCAGCCCCCACCAGCTGGAGCACATGTGTCAGCTCAACCACGGGGCTCAGTGGGGAGGAATTACAGCCCCCGTACCCAAGGAACACCACTTATTGGTGGTGGTAGACATTGCGTGGCTGCAGATTCGGAGTTGTTAGCAGTTTGTTAAGAAAATGAAACAGGCTTGTAAAAACCTGTGTTTGTAAAAACAGCCCCGATACAACCTCCACCCAACACTTCCCCCCCGCACTACTTCCTTTCCCAACTCTTCCCCCCACTTCCGCAATCTCCCCACCAGCTAAGGCACACGTGCCATCTCTTCTACAGCACGTCACCCACGGGGCTCAGCGGGGAGGACAACACTCCTCACTGAACTGCACCGTGTAATGAGTCGATTTTTTAGTCGACTCAAAAAAAGAGGACAACACTCCTCACTGAACCGCCCCTTCCAACTTCCCTCCCCAACTCCCCGCTCCCGCCCCGTCTACCAGCTGGGCCACACGTGCCATCTCTTTTACAGCACATCACCCACGGGGCTCAGCGGGGAGGACTATGCATTTGGGGAGAAGGTGCGTGTGATTGCTGCCATGTGACTGTATAGTTTTTTCTGTAGCTGTAGAGTGGGGCAAGGGGCCTTCAGCAGAATGTGACTGTGGAGTGTGACAGCAGCAGCATGTGACTGTGGAGTGTGCACTTGCTCGCGCTACCCACACCCTAATCCCGTAGTTTCACTGCATTGTGGATGGATTCTCATTCTCGTGACCTTAAGCATCCACAATACGGTCATGAATTCTCTGCTCGTTACGAGCTGGTTTTAGAGAATTCTAAAAAAACAGCTCGTAAAAAACAGCTCGTAAAAAACGAGCTCGTAGCATATGTCTTGTTTCAAGCATCCAGAATGAGGCCACGAATTCTTGTTAATCCTCTGCCCTTCTGCATGTGCTCCACTGCTCCATCCATCCTTGCGTCACGCACCACCACATGGCATGCGCATGCACATGCGCAGCCACATGTTCAACAATATTCGTGTGACTTTTGAGAATTCTCACAGGGCACCACAGGGCATGAGCACCACCACAGGGCATGAGCACCACCACAGGGCATGAGCACCACCACAGGGCATGAGCACCACCACAGGGCATGAGCATGCACGTGCGCTGCCACATGTTCAACATCTTGAGGCCCCCAAGACGCACCTCCGGTGGCGCACCTGGTTTGAATCCCCATACGCCCCTCCCTTATCCCTCCACATGTGCATCACACACCACCGCAGAGCATGCACATGAGCTTGCAGGGCCGCATGTTCAACAGCCTGAGGCCCGCATTTCCTGTCCTGCATTCATCCCCGTTTGCTTCATGTATCCATACTCGATTCGACACAGGCCATGCGCATGGAGTGGCGCAAATACAACAACTTGAGGCCCGAGGCAGTGGAGGCGTGGATGTACCTGTGGAGGTCCGTAGCTGGTTTGAATCCCCATAGGTTTCCTACCCTCCTCCCCCCTTTTATGTGTGTCACAACAAACCACCACAGGGCATGCCCATGGAGGGGCGCAAGTACAATAACCTGAGGCCCGAGGCAGTGGAGGCATGGATGTACCTGTGAAGGGCCACACCTGCTTTGCACTCACGTCTGTCTTCCATCCCTCCATGCATCTTCCATCCCTCCATGCACCATAAACCACTCAGGCCATGCGCATGGAGGGGCGCAAGTACAACAACTTGAGGCCCGAGGCAGTGGAGGCGTGGATGTACCTGTGGAGGGCCGTAGCTGGTATAATCTCACCTCTGTTCTTCCAACCCTCCACACGTGCATCACACACACCACAGGGCATGCGCATGGAGGGGCGCAAGTACAATAACCTGAGGCCCGAGGCAGTGGAGGCATGGATGTACCTGTGGAGGGCGACGCACGACCCCATGTACAGGCACTGGGGGTGGGAGGTCTTCCAGGCCTTCCAAAAGCACTGCCGTGTGGAAAACGGCTTCGTGGGGCTGCTGGATGTGAGTATAGGGTTTAGGGTTTAGGGTTTAGGTGGATCCTGAGTCACTCTACAGGTACCACATATGGAGGGCCACTTATAACCTCATGTACAGGCACTGGGGGTGGGAGGCTTTCCAAGCCAAGCCTTCCAGAAGCACTGCCGCGTGGAAAATGGACATGTGGGGCTGCTGGATGTGAGTAAAACGAATTGACAGTGGGTGCCTTAATGTGGTCTTTCTCTACTGGGAGTGGGAGTGGGAATGGGCTGGCTTTAGGCCTTCCAGAACCACTGCTGGGATGCCGGCCTGTGGGTCTCTGCAATTGCTACTAAGGCCTTGATTTTTTACTTTGGTTCTCTCCCCATCATTATTTTTCTCTCCGTGCTCCAGGCCTCTCAGAACCCTCCACAGAAGGACGACTTGCAGCAGAGTTTCTTTCTTGCCGAGACGCTCAAGTATCTTTACCTCCTCTTCTCGCCCGATGATGTGCTGCCTCTCAACCAATGGGTGTTCAATACCGAGGCACACCCTCTTAAGATCATAGCAAGAAACGCTGATTTCCCCCCTCAAGTGAGGATTGAGTCTCAAACGAAGCATGACGCGCTTCCGGACGATGATTAGCATGGGTTTTGGAAAGGCGGGCATTAGTAGATAGGAAGGTCTGGTGATAACAAAAACTCTGTTTTTCACAATCAAACTCCAATAGCTGACCAGAAAGTGCTTCTCTCTTTACATTATTGTCATAAGCATTCCAACATCATCTTGAGTGTTATTGTTACAAGTGCAATTGAGTGAACGAACGAGAATTGCACTATCGAAGCAAGAGTACAATGAGCGAAGGCATGAGCGAAGAATATATAGCGAAACTACAGTGGTAACGGTAATGGTCGCGCGACGAGCCCGGGACTGAGGTTGGGAACGTGTCGAAGCGTAGGCCCGGAGCGCGGGTTACCAGCCGAGCCGTGAGGTCGGGATGCGATGTGCGAAAATGGCGGGATGATGAATGATGCGATGGTCGCGAGTGGTAACGGTGCTGACTGAGGTGCTACAGTGATGTACGCGTTGAGCAGAGATGCGAAGTAAGGAAAAGGGAATTTCCTTACACTACCCCCCCCTCCTAAAAGGTCCTCCTTACGAAAGCGCGTGGACGTCCTTGAAGTTTCGGCTGCGTAGATAGTCGGTGACGACAGGGTGGTTTTCAATTCTGTCCAGGGGAACCCAGTTGTCCTCGGTGGGTGTACGATCTTTCCAGCGAATCAGAAACTCAACTTTTCGGGCCCCTCGAGGGTCACGAACTCTGTGGCTCAAGATTTTGTCGGGGATGATGACTGGTTCGGTTGGTGGTCGTGACATGCTGGATGGTCGATGTCGTGGGAGTTGGCTGATGGATGGTACGTAAGGGCGAAGCAGGCTGACGTGGAACGAGGGGCTGACGTACCAGTCAGCAGGAAGGAGGAGGTGCGCGGTGACATGTGTGATCATGTGACTGATTCGAAATGGCCCACAGTATCGAGGGCGGAGTTTGGGAGTGATGGGCAGGCGGAGGTTCTGAGTGTCGAGTAAAACGAGGTCGTCGGGCTGATAAGTGACGGGTCTGCGGTGGCGATCGGCGTTGCGTTTAGCGATGATATTTGATTTTTTAATTGCTTCTACTGCCCTGGTCCGTGCTGCTTGCAAAATCTCGGCGAACTGTTGTGCGCGTGGAACAAGATTGTCGGGGTTTGGTGTCATGGGTACTGTTGGGTTCTGTCCGTGATTCAAGTAGAATGGCGACTGTTGGGTCGTGGCAGATGGCGCGTTGTTATATGCGAACTCGATGAGAGGCAGCTGCTACTCCCACGTGTTTGGATCGTCACACGTGGCTCGAATGAGTTGCTCCATAGTCTAGTTTGTCCGTTCTGTCTGTCCGTCGGTTTCGGGGTGATACGATGAACTGAATTGAAGTCGCGTGCCGAACTGCTGCCACAGGTTCCGCAAGAAATTACTGGTAAACTTCGTGTCCCTGTCGCTGATGATCGACGCTGGTATCCCGTGCAGTCGAACGACAGTGGCGATGAAGAGTCGGGCTGTTTCCTCGGCTGTGATTGATTTCCTGCATGCTGCGAAATGTGCCATTTTCGTTAGTCGATCGACGACGACCAAGATCGCGTCATTCCCACTCGCCCCGGCCGGTAACCCCGTGACGAAGTCCATCGTCACCTGCTGCGAAGCACGCTCTGGAGGTGGGATTGGTTGTAATTGTCCTGCCGGCCGCTTCCTGGTTGACTTCATGAGTTGGCAAGTGGGACACGATGCCACGTGTCGTTGCACGTCGGTCAACATTTCCGGCCAGTAATAGTACCGTTGCAGCTGCTGCCGTGTTTTTTCTACTCCGAAATGTCCCGAGGTAACTCCGTCGTGTGCCTCCTGTAACAGTAGTTCCCGTAGTAGCGTGTACCCTGGTACCCAGATGCGGTCGGATCCAGCTTTTACGTAATAGGCTCCCTTGGCTGCTGCGAATTGCTGTGAATTTCCTCCTGTGAAGAATGGGTCTGTTTGATATCCGTGGGTAAATAGTCCTGTCAGTAACGGGCTGGTCTGGGCGAGTAGTATCGCATGTATTTGGGCAGTGGGGCGGGTCAGTGCGTCGGCGATATTCGAGGCTCCTTTTTTATATGTGACCGTATAGTGGAAATTCGATTCGAGGAAGTCGAGCCACCGAATCTGTCGTGGGTTGAGGTGGGGCTGTGCGCGAAGGTACTGTAGGGATAAATGGTCTGTCCGTACTGTCACGTCTGCGCCGGTCAAGTAGCAACGCCACACTTTGAATGCATGCACGATCGCGAGCATTTCGCGGTCGTGTATCGGGTAATTTCGCTCAGGTGGATGTAGCTTGCGTGATTCGTAGGCGATGGGTTGGAGGCCGTTGCCGAAGTCCTGTAACAGTACGGCTCCGATGGCGATGTCACTCGCGTCTGTAACAACTTCGAAGGGGCCGTGTGGGTCAACGATGCGTAGGACGGGTGGTGAAAAGAGAACATTTTTCAGGGCAGAGAAGGCAGCATGCTCTTTCTCCCCCCACGTAAAAGGGACCCCCTTACGCAGTAAATCAGTGAGCGGGGCTGTTAAGCGTGCCATGTCGGGGACGAACCGACGAACGTAATTAACAAACCCTAAAAAACTCTGTAGTTCCGTGATGTTTGTCGGGGGATGCCACGCTTTTACGGTATCCAGCTTCTTAGGGTCTATCTCAACCCCAGCCTCCGAAATGACGTGACCTAAAAACTCAAGCCTGCCCCGAAAAAACTCGCACTTGGAGCCCTTGGTGAGTAACTGATGTGCCTCTAAAATTTTAAAAACTGCTTCGAGATCTACTAAGTGCTGCTGCTGGTCCCGACTGTAAACGAGGATGTCGTCGAGGTAAACTATGACGCATTTATCTAAAAGTGGCCTAAACGCCTCGTTCATGGTCATCTGAAATGTTGCAGGCGCGTTGGTCAGCCCGAAAGGCATCACCGTGTACTCGAATGACCCGTACCTAGTCCTAAATGCTGTCTTGGCGCAGTCCGATGGTTCGACCCGAATTTGATGGTGACCTCCCCGTAAGTCTATTTTCGAAAATACTCGTGCGGTTCGCAGCTGGTCGATCAGTTCGTCGGCGCGGGGGATGGGGTATCGTGATTTTACTGTTACCCTGTTAAGCGCTCGGTAGTCGATGCACATGCGAAACCCCTCGTCTTTTTTCGGTGTGAACAGTATCGGTGCGGCGAACGGTGACGAGCTCGGTCGGATAAACTGCTTCTCTAACAGGTAATCTAACTGCTTCCTTAGCTCGTCGAGCTCGGGCTGTGTCAGTCGAAATTGGCGCTGTACAGTTGGTTGTGCCCCCGGTTCTAACTCGATCCTATGGTCATGCGCCCGCTGAGGTGGCAGCCCTTGCGGTAAGTCATCCGGAAAGATACCCGGTACCCGTTTCCGTAGTGCCTGTAGTTCGGGTGGTACGGCTGCCAACAATTTCTGCAAATCACTCGGCCGGTCCTCTTTTTCCACTAATGCGATATCCACTGCGTACACGTCAGTGTCAAGATACTAGTCACTCTGATAGCATGTCAAGATACTAGCAATGGGTAGGCTTAGGAGCCATGGTTGAGTTCGAGTAAGTTTAGGAGAGTCGAGAAATTGGAAGAGAAGAAGTGGTTTCACTATAGAGCGAGCAGTACATATAGGCAAAATGAAAGGTGCACCACCAAAACAGAACATTGTATAACTACAATAATCTACACTACAGGCAGTTACAAAACAATATATAAAACTATATATTATTCTGACATTCAGCTCCAGCAGCGACAACCCGTTTCATCGTGATGGCGTTGACCTGGACCGTCGAAGACTCGGGTGGCTGCCAGCGAAGTAGGACGACCCAGTTACCACTACTTCGCACTGTGCAGCTACCCGTCGTCCAGTCAATTCGTGGGTTATACCGTCGCAGCCAATCACGTCCCAATAAAATGTCGTGCCCATCCAGTGTCGTTGCGAGCATTTCCTGTGTAAACCCGAAGTTCCCTCCGCAGCGGACCTTTACTTACTCCACCTTTTCCCGTATAGCTAGTGGCGTGCCGTCGACTAAGCGTGCATCTATCTCACGTAAGCATCGGTTAAGTGTTAACTGTAATTTCCGTGCGGTTGCGGTATTAACTAAGCTGTGACTTGCTCCTCCGTCAATAAAAATCTTCACTGCTGCTCCCTGTATTTTCCCGTAGATTAGTACTGGGCAATCCGTCGCTGTACCCTCCTTATTCATCCGAGCCCGATCGATGGCATGAATCGGTACTGTGACTCGGTGAGGGTCGGTGTGGTTGGGCGAGCAGGCAGTCTCGTCAGTAGTTGGCCCAGCTTCTATTGACTGCTGGCGTTTCCCTGCCTCTGAGACTCCCTCCCCTGCTCTGCTCCTCGGCGCCTCAGCTCCTCTGGGCATTCGCTCTTGCGATGGCCCGGCCTGTTGCAAGCAAAGCAGCGCCCCTTAAACGGTGCGGCAGCTGCATTCGTTGCGACGGCGTGTACACTGGCGTGCTCGGTCGGTCCCCGAGGACGATGTCCGTAATAGGACCCCGGTCTCGGTCGGCGTAGAATGTCGATCTTCTCGGCGAGCGCGAGAATCTCGTTGAAGTTAGAGAGTCCGCGCAGCATTATCTCGTGCGAGATGTCCGGCTTCAGCCCTCCGATGTAACGGTCCACCCGCTCCGCTTCGTGCATGTAGCCGACCTGCTCGCAAAGTGCGAGAAAACCGCTGGTATAGTCTTGAACTGACCCGAGCTGGCGCCAAGTGCGCAGTTTCTGACGCGCCGAAATTGAAGCCGCGATCGGCTCAAAACGCGCCCGAAGTCCTGCGCACCACGCATCCCACGTGCTGTATTGGGCGGTCTCGCAGAACGAACTCCAGGTGACAGCTGGACTCGAGGGCCCTTCCTCGTGCGACGGTGGCTCGTAGGCGCGTGGCGACGTCACGATGACTCGCCACCAGTCCATGGCGGGGCCCCTTGGCAGTGAAACCGCATACCGGATCTTTGCGGCGTCCGACTCGACGTAATTGGCGTCGAAGAAAACGTTCATCGTGAAGACCCACGATTGAACTGTCGGACCGC